TGGGGCTATTGTGATAAATAAGACAAGACACATTCCCTGCCCAGCCTGTATGTATATAGCAGCAAACTTAGAACAACAAGCAAACCAGAGCAGTGCTTTATAAAGATTCTTCATGTTCTTTGTATTTACATTAAGTTCTTTGAAAGCAGATACTAGTGTTCTTTGTTTTGGTCCTTTCCTCATCCCACCACTAGACCAGTGTTTTACATCTTATGTTTAACAGATACTGTTCACAAAGGCTTACTTTGGTTTTCCTTTTCATTGTTAAAAATCTGATTTATCTCTTTTCTGATATTTTCTACTCTAAAAGCAGTGAGGAATTTTGAGTTCAATCCAGACTAAGATGGCAAATTAAGATTTAATCAGATTCCTGCTAAAGAATTTTGTAAAAGGATTTAAAAATTTTCATGTACTCCATCTTCCTTTCCTGAGTTAAAACTCCAGAGTGGTAAAGGCAGCTTTACAAATGCTGTCATCATATAAATTGGCACTTTTGCTTTGTTTCTTCTGGGTTCGACAGCCAGAAAGTACCTACCCAATTGTTTAAAAAATCAGCAGTTCTATTAAGCCCGGTATTCATCAATAGATAGTAAAAAATTGCCAACCCTGAAGCACATTAAAATAAACTTCTCAATCTAGCTTTTCCATGGATAGATAGCCTATTAAAATAATGGGGAAAAAAATAAAATAAAATAAAATAAAATAAAAATAAAAATAAATAATGGGGAAAAATGAGTGAAAGAATAAAAATAAAATAATAGAAGAGATAGACTATCTGTTTACTATGCCTAGAGCTATCTTCTTCATATACAACTCCTTGTTCTCCCACTGTGTGCTGAGTGTCAGTCTGTTTTTTGTGAAAAGCCACAGGATTCTTACAAGTTGTTCAAAGACCTTTAAAGACAATTCTTAATTTTTTCAGTGATAGTCAAGGTTATTCTGTGCTATGTAATGTCCCAGAGCAGCAATGAGGAACTTTAGTAATGATGGGTTGAAATAAACATTGGTGTGTGAGTTTTATAGATAATATACCAGCATTAATTTCAAACTTGATCATCACAGAACTTCTTATCAAAACAGTTGGCAAGTGGTTAAATACATTTGTTGCAAAGGTGTGAGCTCCAAAGCATACATGTCACATAGGGTCTTAGGGCACCTTCTTAATTTAGGTACACACAGAACTCCAACCAAAATTCCTTCCTGATTCTTTTTTAAAATTAATTATTTTTATTAACATATAATGTATTATTTGCCCCAGGGGTACAGGTCTGTGAATCATCAGACTTACACACTTCACAGCATTCACCATAGCACATCCCCTCCCCAATGTCCATAACCCAACCACACTCCCCCCAGCAACCCTCAGTTTGTTTTATGAGATTAAGAGTCTCTTATGGTTTATCTCCCTCCCAATCCCATCTTGTTTCATTTTTTCCTTCCCTACCCCCAAAGCCCCCTACTCTGCCTCTCAAATTCCTCATATCAGGGAGATCACATGAAAATTATCTTTCTGTGATTGACTTATTTCGCTCAGCTAATACCTTCTAGTTCCATCCAGGTCGTTGCAAATTCCTTCCTGATTCTTTGGCAGTTTTAACATTATTTATGGATATCTTATCCATATGACTCTTCATGTCTCCAAACAAGTAGCCTAAGTATATTTACACAAAATTTCATTTCATTTGCTTATGTTAAGATGGGTATTGTCCTATTAAATTTGCGTGATATTAATGTGGGTTGAGGAAGGCGATAGCTGTTTTATAGAGGTGTTTTAATGCACTGTAATCATGAAAGCATTAACAGATAATGTTGATTTCTGTGGGCTTTTTTTTTTTTAATGCTTCAGTGAATGTCTAGGAAAGTGTAGCATCCTGTCAGATTTTGTTCATAGGCAAAAATTCTTATTAAATGGAAAATTGGGGGGCGCCTGAGTACCTCAGTCCATTAAGTGTCTGCCATTGGCTCAGTTCATGATCCTAGGGTCCTGAGTTCGAGTCCCACGTCGGGCTTCCTGCTTAGCTGGGAGCCTGCTTCTCCCTTTCTCTCTGCTGCTCATGCTCGCTCACTCGCACGCGCTCTCTCAAATGAGTAAATAAAAATTCTAAATAAATAAGTAAATAAATTTAAAAAATGGAAACTTTTGAGGAGTCTGGGAATATAACAATACAGTAATAAAAATAACTGAGGTTCTTTTGATTTTTGTAAAAAGAGAAGGGAAAAAATCCTCTGGTTTTGGTCATTAAAATGTAGTATTGACTTAAAAACATGCAATGCCACAGTGAGATGGAATTTACTGACTTATCGAAGCTTTTGACAGGTATATTTGCATCTTTAGACGTCAGATTTGAATTATTAAAGCAGCCTTTGTTTAATAAATTGAACATTTACTGAGAAGATTACATGGAAGAATAAGCATACTGATTTGCAGTAGGTGCAGTTTTAGCTGGTGTTAAAACTAAACTGGCCTTAGTGAATTCTTACCCTGGCTACATAGAAATGGCTTCAGTTTGAAAGAATATGGTTTCAGAAGTCATATATTTTTCCAAATGTGTTTCTGGGGAAAATAAACCTAAATTCTTGAAGCAGGCCATTTCACTTCTAATTGAATGTAATACTAGGAAAACAAAAAGCCTTAAGGCAAAAACTGTTTCTTACGGAGGTTTTTGTTTTCCATTTGAAATTAGTGCAGTTGGAGATTGGCTTTTTAAAAAAAAAAACTCCGATTCTTTTAAACAAAGTATAGCAATGTAAAATTGTTGCTAAATTTACTAGCACAACTGAGAACAATTGTATTCTTTAAAAAAAGTAATCAGTGAGTTTTATTTAAATAAAATAGTTGCCTGAATATGATTTTAAAAAATAACACCTAAGATAAACCTAGGAATCAGATTAAATAATAATAAAAGGTGTTTTCAGGAGACGTAGTGTCTTTCTACTTAGATTTTAAAATTTAAACCAATTGTTGGGTATGGATTTGAATGTTTTGTTCTGTGTGTATGTACAGTATAATGGAAGCTTATAGTAGTGCTGTATTAGTTCAGGTAAAATCTTGCAGAAGAGTAGACTTCTGAAATATTATGTTATCTGATTTACATTTTTGCTTCACCTTCTTATTCAAGTAAAACAATTTTTGCCTGATAATAAAGGTGGAAACAAATGATTATGTTTTTTACTCTCCAATATTAGAATATTCTCAATGCATTTGAAGTAGAATTAATTACATTTTTTCCCTTCCCTGGAATTCTCTGGCTATAAATCAGTTTTTTTTTAATTAATGAAAGTTCTTTTATGATGCCCTTAAGTACCTGTTATGATTTACTCTTCAATTAGGTAGGTTTGTGATTAGACTCCTTTGCAGGTGATGCACTGACTAGAGGAATTGACTTTTAGGCTATTGATTCTATGTGTTAGGACTGAGCAGAGAAATTTTCATTTGTTTTATCTTAAAAGTAGCCAGAATAAATGAGAGGATTCTTATAGACTGTAAAACCCAAACTAAATATCCTGGAAAAATCTTCGTGACTTAAAGGTTATTTATTTAAGTAGCAGAAATTAATTTTTTTAATGAACATGCAGTAAAATTGCCTCTTGTGCATACAGTTGATGAACTTTAACGTGTGTAGATTTTCATGTAACTGTCATCACAGTCAGTATCCAGATACCCACATGGTTCCATTAGTTCATAAAATTCCCTTATGCTATCTCTATGTAGTTGTGCTGGGTCCGTAATCAAAGGAGCGAGACTGATACAAAGCGAAGGTCAAGCAAAGCTTTATTTCGCGCCAAGCATCAAGAATCAGATCGACCACCCGGGGCCGCCTCTCTTGCAAAGAGGCGACCTCTCTCTGCCTTACAGACTAGTTTTTAAGGGCAAAGGCCATGTGGTTGGGCCTGACCACGCACAGGTGGCCAGTGAGATTATAACACACAGAGAAAGCTGCACAGTCTTGCTAGGTCACATATAAGTGACCAATTGAATTACAGTTTACCTTATAGTAGATATTTGACCTAGCCTATCACCTTGGTCAGAATTGGCGCCCAAAAGGTGCCCAGAGGGCAGGGCCCATACTCCTTGGTAGCTAGGGAGACAGTATGTGCCCCTACTGATTGGATACCTCCACCTGGCCTGACCCACCCTTGTATTTGGGATTTGTTACCTGGGACTGGTTTCTGGGACTTGTTTTTAAGTAAATTCCCTGAGGTGGGGGGGCAGGGTCAGTTTAAGTTTTACTGCATAAACAGCAAAATCACTGTTTAACCGGATGGAGCTGCTCTGGCTAAATAGGCCCTTACAGTTGTACTCTCTTTATCTCACACTTGCAACCACTTTGTTGTTTAGTTTTATGTTTTCAAAAATGGCCACTAAGTGGGATCATAAAGTATATAGCTATTTGAGGCAGTTATACATGCATTTACTCAGCATAGTGCCTTAATATTTCATCTAACTTGTTTTGTATATCATTATTTCATTCATTTTTATTGCTGAGTAGTATTTGATTTAATGGATTTACCATAGTTTATCCCTTAATTCATTGAAGGACTTTGAGTTGTTTTAAGTTTGTGACTATTTTGAATAGGGATGTTATAAACATTTGTTTGTTGGCTTTTGTGAATACAAGTTTTCATTTCTCTTGGGTAAATACATAGTAGTGAGATTGTTGGTAATTGTATAATTTTACTTAATAAGATATTGCCAAACTGTTTTCTAAATTGGTTGTACCACTTTGTATTCGCATCAGCAATGTGTGATTATTCTAGTTGTTTTGCCTATTTGCCAGCACTTGGTAGGGTCATTCTTTTGTTTGTTTAGTTTTTATTTCATAATCATAAACTTAACTCTGTAATCCATCTAGACTTAGAGGGGAGTAAGGAAAACCTATAGAATTGCAGTGAGAGCACAAAGATTATAGGATATTTTAAACAGGTAGAGGTGAAGAGGTACTCTCCTGAGCTACAGAAGGAACGGTCTGGTAGTTAAGATAAAACACAAGTGAAATTTATTACATTTGTCCATAGTTAGTGATCATTTTGCTGGTCTTGCCATTCCTGGCTCCAAAGCACTCCATGGCTTTTGTAGTATTCATGCCCTCCTTCACCTTGCCAAAGAACACATATTTGCTCTCCAACCACTCAGTGTTGGCACTGCAGATGAAAAACTGGGAACTATTTATGTAGGGTCTAACATTTGCCATGGATAAGACGCCAGGACCTGTGTGCTTCAGGATAAAATTCTTATCATCAAATTTCTCCCCGTAGATGGACTTGCTGCCAGTGCCATTATGGCATGTGAAGTCACCACCCTGGCATGTAGATCCTGGAATAATCCTATGAAAGCAAGCACCTTTATAACCAAATCCTTTTTCCCCAGAGCTCTTTGGAGCTCTGTCTGCAAACAGCTTAAAGGAGACGTGGCCAGAGTGCTTGCTATCCACAGTGATATCCAAGAACACAATGCGGTGACCATGGCTGCTTGGGCACAGGCAGCCCTGGGGCAGCAGCATCTGCAAGTGGTCATTCTTTTAATTACAACCATTCTAATAGATTTGGAATGATATCTGATAATCATGATTTTAAATTGCATTTTCCTAATAGTTAATGATATCAACCACTTTGTTATGTGCTTTTTTGCTATACGTGTATTCTTTTTGGGTCTCTCCAAGTCTTTTGTCCACTTTATAAAATAACAGAAACTTTATTTGGGAATAATTTTAGATTTAAAGATTTTTTTTTTAAGTTTTTTTTTTTTTTATTTATTTGACAGAGAGAGATTACAAGTAGACAGAAAGGCAGGCAGAGAGAGAGAGAGAGGGAAGCAGGCTCCCTGCTGAGCAGAGAGCCCGATGTGGGACTCGATCCCAGGACCCTGAGATCATGACCTGAGCCGAAGGCAGCGGCTTAACCCGCTGAGCCACCCAGGCGCCCCAAGGGAATAATTTTAGATTTATAGAAAAGTTGCAAAGATAATATAGAGGATCCCTGTATGTCTCTCATCCAGATGATAACATCTTATAAAACCGAGACCAAATACATTTATCAAAATGAAGAAACCAATATTGGTAACTTAATGTTAACCAAATTCCAAATTTTATACTCAGATTTTGTCAGATTTTCCACGAGTCTCCTTTTTATGTTCCAAGGATTCCACATTGCGTTTGTTATCTCCTTATTCTCCTTTGGTTTGTGGCAGTTTCTTAGTCTTCCCTTGTTTTTCATAACCTTGATAATTTTGAGTATTAATACTAGTTAGGTATTTTGGAGAATATCCCTCAATTTGTGTTTATCTGATGTTTTCTTCTGATTAGACTGAGGTTAAGGATTTTAGGGAAGGATATCAAAGGTATGATAGTGAAGTACCCTTCTCATCACATCATATTAGGGAGTATCTGATATCATTTGGTTAAGGTAGTGTTTGCTAGGTTTCTACCCTGTAAAGTTATTATCTTTGTCTTTACGTCATCTGTTCTTTGGAAGTGAATCACTAATTCTAGCCTGCACTCAAGGAGGTGCGGTGATGGTTTCATTTTATGGTCTGTCTACATATATTATTAGGATTTCTTCCATAAGAAAGTTTGTCCCTTACCTTTCATTCATTCATTAATTCTTTCATTCATTTAGGTCATTATGAATACTTATTTTTATACATTGGATTATAACCCAATGAATGTTATTTGTTTTGTTGCTAAAATTATTTCATTGTTGAACCCTGTATCCCTTTGACATTTTTTGAGTAGTGCCTTGATTTCTGGCACTACAAGATACTCCAAACTCATCTTGTATTTTCTCCACCCTATTCCTAGCATCAGTCATTCTCTGAGCTCTGGTTTCTTGTATTAGAGAGTTGTGTTTAGAGACCAGTGTCTGGGTGCTGGATGTACTCCTTACTCTTGGGGTGTCACTGTTTCTAAGCCTTTTCAGAGGATAAAGGTGGGAATTATACATCTGTATGCTAATCTGTGTGTATGTACACATTATAATTGTGTATTTATGTATTTGTATATTATGTAAGCAGTATATATGTTAAGTTCATACCAAAGTCTGTGACTCTGCTCCAGTACCATAAGGTTCATTCTAGCCTTCTCCTTTTTGCTTAACTACTAACTTTTCTTGAGAATGAGAAATCTGGCTTATTTACATTTTTGTTCCACCGCAGTGTACATGTAAAAAGTAAATTTAGAATTAACCATTGCTACCATAAAAAATAAATTTACCAACTAGAATACTGTGTTTATGTATGGGTCCTTTTGTATTTAGCCTTAAAGTTTCCATTTAAAATACTATTTTCCAAAGTTACTTAGGTCAGCTTATTTTTCTTCTAATCTCTTCAGTGGGGTTTTTGCCTTTCATTTGCAATACAGTCAGACTCATTTGTCACACACTGCATTCTATTTTAAAATTTCCCTAGCATCTTAGTTGATTTTTAAAAATTTGCATACATTAGGGGTGCCTGGGTGGCTCAGTGGTTTAAAGCCTCTGCCTTCCGCTCAGGTCATGATCCCAGGGCCCTGGGATGGAGTCCTGCATAGCATCGGGCTCTCTGCTCAGCAGGGAGTCTGCTTCCGCCCCACCCCCCGCCTGCCTCGCTGTCTACTTGTGATCTCTGTCTGTAAAATAAATAAATAAAATCTTTTTTAAAAATTTGCATACATTAAAGTTTACTTTTTGCATGTACAGTTCTGTGGGTTTTGACAAATGCACAGGGTCATCAGTCACTATCCCAGTACCATACAGACAGTTTCATCACACCAAGTATTCTCCTATTAAACAGTGCTGGACCCGGTTAACAACCTGCGTATGTGTGCATGTATAGGGCAGAGGAGTTCCCCCACACCAACCAATAGCTGGGTGTCCTACAATTCAACTAAATGTCTGACACATCTACCCAGAAACAGTATCGGTTAAGGGCTCAATCCCATATGACTGTGCACTCCATACCTCAGTTCATATACCAGGTGCAAGCCGAGATTGTCACCAGTGATTCTGACCGACAAGCTATCAATCAGAAGTCCCAATGACTCCCTCCTTGGGTTTGATTAATTTGTTAGAGTAGTTTTCAGAACTCAAACATTTAACTTACTAGATTATTGGCTTATTAAATATATATAACTTAGGAACAGCCAGATGGAAGATAAGCCTAGGGCAAGGTATGGGAAAAGGGTGCAAAGCTTCCATGCCCTCTGAGAGCACACTGCTCTCCAAATGCCCATGTATTCACCACCTAGAAGTTCTCTGAAACCCTTCCTGTTGTGTTTTTATGGAGGCTTCATTACATAAACACAATTGGTTAAATTATTGGCCATGGCACTTGATTCAGACTGTAGTCCCTCTCCCCTCCCTGGAGGTTCATGGGATGGAACTAAATTTCCAACTTCCCTAATCCCAGGATTGGTTCTTCCAGAAACCTTCCTTCCTCAGTTACTTTCTATAAATCCAGTTGTGGTGGAAAGGGGCTTATTACAAGTAACAAGACACCCATTTCACCTTTATGGCTCGGAAGTGATTATAGGAACTGAGGCAAAGAGGCCAAATACAACAAAGGATGTTTCCCTTGCTCTAATTACTTGAGAAGTTCAAGGGTTTGGGGAACTGTGAGCCAGGAACCATGGATGAAGTATAAATATATAAGAAAAATACGTTTTGGTCATCTGAAAGACCACATGTATGTATTTGTTATAAATCACAAAGTTGCACCAAATTCTGACACCATCTACCTGGAGATAGTAGCAAATTCCACATGTTAAGGGCTCAGTCAGTCCCAAAGGACTGCCTATCCCACATCTCAGTTCACACACCTGCTTTGTAGTTAGCCATTCCCACATCCACCAATCCCTGACAACCACTAATCTCTTTTCTTTCCATGTTGTTTTGCCTTCTCCAGTGTGTCATATACATGCAGTTATATAATATGTAACTTTTTGGATCTGACTTCTCACATAGCGAAGTGCATTTAAGATTTCTCCTTGTTGGTCTTATGAATCAAATAGTTCAGTCCTTTTTATTCCTGCACAGTATTCTAGTGTATGGATTTACCACATTTATTTTATCCATTCTTCTTACTGAAATAACTTTCTAGGCCCAAGATAAAGCTGCTCCTGCTCCAGGTGCCACATCAGCAAACTGAAACCGTGTCTCTGTAAACGTTCCACTTCACCAAAAACACAGGCTCTCTAATAAGATAATCCCCAAACACCAGGCCAACTCTGGGCCTTCTCACCCCAAATGAGGTTGACTGTGTGGTTCTAGCCAGTCAGATATTTTCCATTTTTCTCTTACTTTTTCTTTATTCTTTATCCTATAAAAGCTTCCTGTCTTCTGCACCATTTTTACTTATTGGAATAGAGACTATCCACCTCATAAAGTGTTAAATAAAATTTGTTTCACCTAAATTATTACCTTTAATCATTTTTTGTTTGTTTTTAACAACTCGGTAAAGGACATCTTGGTTCCTTCAGTTTTTGTTGATCATGAGTAAAGCTTCTATTAAACAGTCATGTACAGATTTTCGTGTGAATATGCTTTCAGTTCACTTGAGTAAGTAATCTAGGAGTTTGATTGCTGGGTTGTATAAGTGTAAATTAAACTTTATAAGAAACTGCCAAATTGTTTCTCAAAGTGGTTGTGTCATTTTTCATTCCCACCAACAATGAATGAGAGTTCCTATTGCTCTGCATCTTTGGCAGCATTTTCTTTTGCTATGTTATTGGTTTGTGTTTTTGTTTTTGTTTTAATTTTATTTATTTTTACTATTTTTTAAAAGATTTATTTACTTATTTGACAGAGAGAGACACAGTGAGAGAGGGAACACGAGCAGGGGGAGTGGGAGGGGGAGAAGCAGGCTTCCTACTGAGCAGGGAGCCCAGTGCGGGGCTTAATCATGACCTGATCCACCCAGGTGCCCCTGGTTTTTTGTTTTTGTTTTTGTTTTTGTTTTTAATTTTAGCCATTCTAATCAGTGTGCTTTTTCTTCACATTTAAATTGGATTGTTTTGGGGCGCCTGGGTGGTTCAGTGGGTTAAAGCCTCTGCCTTCCGCTCAGGTCGTGATCCCGGGGTCCTGGGATGGAGCCCCGAATCCATCCATCCATAGGGCTCTCTGCTCAGTGGGGGGCCTGCTTCCTCCCCTCTCTCTGCCTGCCTCTCTGCCTCCTTATGATCTCTGTCAAGTAAATAAATAAAATCTTTAAAAAAAATTGGATTGTTTTCTTCCTGTTGAATTTTGAGAGTTCTTTATATATTCTGGATACAAATACTTTGTTGAATATGTTATTTACAAACATTGTTTCCCTGTCTGTAGCTTGTCTTTATATTATATTAGATAACTTTCTAGAGCAGAAGTTTTTAATTTTGATAAAGTCCAATTTATCCTTTTTTACTTTCTGGATTTTTTAAAAAAAGATTATTTATTTATTTATTTGACAGATCACAAGTAGGCAGAGAGGCAGGCAGAGGGGGAGGAGGAAGCAAGCTCTCCACTGAGCACAGAGCCTGATGCGGGGGCCGTGAGA